CACACACACACACACACACACACACACACACACACACACACACACACACACACACACACACACACACACAGAGAGAGAGAGATAGGGTGCAGCCAATGATGGGCCACACCTTGATTTGTACTGTCAAGGTTAAATAGCATGGGTGAAGTATTTCAAAGTACAAAGAAAAAAGAAAAAAGAAACAACCTATTAACCAAATCAGAAATTCTGCACCGCATTCAACAATTCTGCAGGGACTGGCTGGGGGGAGCCCAAGGGAGAAAACTAGGAGAAATCAAGAGGGAGGGAGCACAGGTAGAGAGGTTCAGGGAAGGGGGTCAGGAAGAATTTGTTTGTTCGGGACTACCGCTTGGTTTTTCACGATTGGACGGCTATGGCATCTCTCCATCCCTCTTCTCCCCCTCTCCGATTTCCCAGTCCTTTTCCCTGCATCATCTTTGTTCCCAGACGGTTCAATGAGTCGACACTTAGCTCCAGATGAGAGGGCATAGAGTGCAATATTGTCATGCTCTGGGGGGGGGGCGGTGTTAACCTGGGGGTGAAAAGTGGGGGTCCCTGTTAAACCCTTCTGCATGGTTAAGATTCAGATCCTATAAGGGGGTCCCTTATAGGTAATGGATAGTATTTGACACTTAGCTCCAGATATCACTATGCAGTGTAGTAGCAGGGCTGATTAGTTACCATCTGCCGCCCTCCTCGAGGGGGTGAAGGGGTACAGGTAGCAGAATCAAGCCCTCTCAAGTCTTCAACATAATAATCTGGTTTCTTCAACACAATAATCTGGTTATCTTAATTCGTCAGTCCCATATGGGACCCTGGACCCATATGGGTCCATATGGGTCCATATGGGAAGTTGGACCCGGTTTCCAGCAGATGCAGCTCCCCACCAATAGATGGAGCGACTGCACAAGGGGGGGGGTATTAGGAGAGGGAGCACTTACCTCCTCGCCTAAGAATCTCTATAGCAGCCTTTGAAAAAAAAAAAAAAAAAAAAAAAAAAGGAGCATTCTGCATTAGTGAAGTCCTTGAAATCCAAAAGAATACCCGGGCCTGATGGCCCAGCACGGCATGCCAAGCTTTGCCGAACCGCCAGTGGCGCCAGCAGCACACTTACTTTTCTTTCTAGGCTGGTGCCGCCAACCGCTGTAGTCCAGCAGCCCCAAGCCTCTGAAATTTTAGGAGCGAGCCATGGAGAAATCTTGCAAGGGGCTCTTTCTTGATTCTATGGGTGGTGTTGCATGGCCGCTCTATAAGCGTTCCTAGTTCGTGGACTGATTTGTCTGCTTAATTCCAATATTAAAAAAATATATATATATACCATCTTGCAAGACTGCTGGTTAAAAAAAAAAAAAAAAAAAAAAAACTGTGGCTGTGTGCTGGTGGTCAGCCCTTGACCACAGGCCTTGATTTGTACGATTAAGGTTAGGTTAAACTGCAAAACTGTGAAGAATGCAGTAAAAGAAGAACATAAGTTTGTGTCATCTTACTTTGTTTGTACCCTGCACCCTAACACCCTCAAAAGAAAAGTCCGAAGGGTGAAAATGAAGATGAAAAATGAAGAAGGAAGTGCAGGTGCGCTGAAAAGCGAACGTGGTAGACTCTTCACCAAAACTGCAAAACTGTGAAAGAAAGAAGAATGCAGTGAAAGAAAGAAGAATGCAGTGAAAGAAAGAAGATGTTTGGGTCACTTTTTTTGTTTTTTCTCCCTCTGCCTATCGGTTTTCCTTTTCTGCTCGTCTCTTCCTTGTGTTTAACACCTCTTCCTTCACTCTGCCTCTTTCCCATAGCATGCAAGTGGGCTGTTATGGCATACGGGGATGGGGCCAGCTCGCGCTCAACTTCATCAACGTGGCGAGCCTTGTACGTTAGAGGCATAGTGGAGGAGGCGTTAAGAAGACTGAGAAACTGAATGATTTCAATGTGTCTTTGTTTTTTATTTTTATCCTTTGATTCAGTGTAAATTTTTTTTGTAAGACACTGAAAGAAATAATAATACTGTGAAACAAAGAATAAGAGAACACTGTTTTGTGTCATTCTGGTTTGTCTGTCTCTTTGCCTGTCTGTCCTTTCATTTTTCTTTTCTTCGCTCATCTTATTTCTTCTTCTACTTCACGTGCTTACGCTCTTAGTCAATAGTTCTGTGACAATATATATATATAGATAGATAGATAGATATATCATTAGTAAAGTACTTCAAACCACCAATTACGTCCGAACCTCGTTTTGCCGCGTGGCAGATTTGCTCTGCACGCCGAGCTTTACCTAACCACCAGTGACACACATTTTTCCATTTTTCGCTGCCGCTGCCGGGCATTTGGGTCCGGCAGCGGCACTGTTCACCCCAAATCTGCAGACTGGCTCAAAAAAAAATTGATCCTCAAGTTTGGCTGAAAGCCGACGAGCGGAAAAAGGGATTTGAACCCTCAAGCAATGATATACTTGTGGTTTAAACTTTAAAGCATCGACTTCGGACTCTTTAGAGTGCGACAAAGTCCTTTTTTTTTTTCTTTTTTTTTTTTCGAGAAGGCCAGAGAGGGCTACTAGCGGGGGTGCTATGAGCACCCCCGTCTAGTAGGTCGCTCCTGTCGATTGGCGGGCAGCCGCACCTGCTGGAAACCGAGTCCAGCGTCCCTTGGATACATCATCAACACTTGAACAAAGTCCTTAACTAATATAAAAATAAGACAATGTATTGATTACTATTAAGTTATTAACACAAATCAACAAGCTGCTACAAGGACTGGCTCTGGAGTGTGGGGGAGTGTGAGAAAGGTCGCTGGGTTTTAGAGAGGGCTTTCAGGCGTTGTAGGGGGGGGGGGGTACTAACTTTCTAGGGTTTTTACGATTTACAGAAGTGTGTTTGGAGTTGCAGAGGGAGTATCTGTACACAGCACGAGAAAGCGGTTTAGGGTTTAGGGCTACTCATGTTTCCATAACAACGAGTCCCCTAAAATTCTAGGGGGGTTACTAACTCTTTAGGGTTTAACCTTCACAGAGATAGTTGCTTGAGACGGAGCATCAAGAATTTTAGGGGAAGGGCTTGCTACTTCCATAACAACGAGTCCGTTTAGAAAGAAACGCCCCTCCCCCCGATGTTCAGGAGCACAGGGAGGGTAGG